TACAATAGATCCATATAAAAGCGTATTTTCGTCTTTTTTTGTGTACGACGCAATACCCGTACGCCTTCCGATACAAAAAGACAATGTCACTTACATCAACAATAATTGTACTCCTCCGTTCATATTCCCTTCACTCACCGCATCACATGTTCGTACGTCCTGCGCTGTCCCCCATGTACACCGTTCCTGCCCATCTCTCTGGCCAGAACTAACCATTCTGTTCAAGACGACGGCCATTCCAACTTTCAATGGCTCCTACATGATCCCAACTTCGTCTCTAGCCACCTCGACAAAGGGACCATGACGACGATACTGCGCGAGTTGCGATCCACATCACCCTATGTCGGACGCCTCAAAGCCGCCATGACCACTCGGTGGGTGCCTACCGTCACGACCTATAGTTAAAGTTAGACCTACGACAAAATATTCGAGTAACATTTGCCTCTGTCGGACAAGTCGAACGTGCTACCTGCTGCCAACAGACTCACCAAAACCACTTCGTGTCCATATTGTGCATATATATGTTGGGGAGGTGCAGAACGGAAGTTTTGTTTGATCCATCCGTTCTACTTCACGTATCTGGTGCAAATCATTCCACATCATGTCCACTTCCACCGTTCCTTTTCCAGAACTGAGTCAGCCGCTATTTCGAACACCTTGGCATTCTCCGCGCCTGGTGCACCGTCGTCAGAAATGATGGCTGTGGACACCAGCAGGACGGGGGTGATGCCTACAGACAAGACCACCATGACGAGGACGCTCACAGGGGAAACAACCACGATCAGTTACCTCAATCGTGACTATTTTCCTTTGACATACGTCTTGCTGTTCCGCACGGTGGGGAATCCGGATGGCACCCCGACCTGAAGAGCACGACCGGTCGGAAAATCACGTTAGCACAGTGGGTAACCCAGTTGTTGTTCAGGGAACCACGATTCGAGAAACTGGGGCCATTGGTCAACGAATTTCTCATCGACGTTTTCAGTTGCATCGAAGATCAACGACTCTCTTTCCACGCACATAACCAAGACAAGTACCGGACGTCGATGCACCACGCGTCCGCAGTTGCGCGACGTTACCGGCAACCGCAGCCCCACCACAATCCCGTCGATGCCATCATCGTCCCATCGACTTTTAGCGGGGGCTTCGCCGACCAAGCGAAGAAGCTGACGGAGTCCATCGCGATTCTACGCCACTTCGGGCGACCATCATACTTCCTCACCATCACGTGCAACACAGTGAGTCCTTACGGTACGAACACGTGTACGACACAATTTTACCGACAGACAAGATGTGCAGTTTGTATTCACTAAACATCCACATATCTATCTTATCCTTCGCACTCCGCAGGAATGGCCGGAGATACAAGAACGATTACATCCGGGACAGACGGCTTTCGATCGCGCCCAGCTTTGCGCCAGGGTGTTCAAACAGAAACTCGATGCCCTGCTCAAGGTGATGTCATGTTTTCATTGCGTTCTGCCCCTTCGATTATTCTTGTCACGTCTAATACGACGTCCATAGACACTCCGGCTATCGCTTCCACATGGTGTACATGTCGCATATTTCCTGGCGGAAACATGATCACTCAAAGATCACTCTTACCCCCCGAACTTCGACACCACAGATTTTACCTCAAGTCTTCGGCAGAATCATCTTCAGGATCGCGGTCATTAAATTTCACGTGAATTCCTCTGCTACCGACGTCTGTCTACGTTATTTTAGGAGCGTGCCGTCCCCTCCACGATCTATATCTCGCCACCTCTCCCCTAACCCCTCGGCCAACACTCATCGCGCGTCACACGCCCATCGCTCGCCGCAACGTGTACAACCGCGCATCCCGTGTGTCCGACAGAAACGAGGACTGCCCCACTCCCACATCGTTTTCAAAGGTGAGAGCAAACCTTTCCTACATGAACGACATCACATATCTCATGGAACATTCCAAGTACTTCGTGTTGCCATCGACACAACACCTACACGCTGTTTTTGTTTCGCCCGGCGACCATCTCTGCTATATATGCGTCCAACTTTGCTTCATGGTCCGCCCCGCTCTACGTTCATCTGCTCGTATGTTCATCTGCCCGTATGGTTCCTTTTCCCGCGTTGAGGTGTCATCCATAATATCATGCGATATCTCCTTCTTCCGGCCATGTCTATGTGCATTGTGTGATGAAGAGGCACTCGATACTTGTGGATTACCTGTTGGAAACTCTGGGAATCCCTTCATTCCGAGAGAACCATAGGTCGGCATCCGACCTTTTCTTTTTTTGGATGCATTTTTCTTCTTGTGAAGTTTTGCCGCTGCGCTTCCCATCGTCGCTTAAATAAGTGTTTTTGTCTTCAAACCTTCGCAGCCGGCCTTCAAACTTCTTGTTGAAAATTCTCCGTGGTAACTTCTCCGCGCATGGGTCATATGAAGTTATGACCTGCGCTTTGACTTTAACGATGGGTATTTTGCCTCACCGTCTTGCATTCGTGAGTACCTGCGTTAATCGGAAGGATCGTTCCACGACGCAAACGTCGACGTCTCCGGTTTTTTTTTTATTCCCTTCGCACTCCTTCCTTGCGGCGGTTTTCACACCAACTTCGAACGTGTCGTGCAATTTCCTCTCTTCGTACCTTCCTCGTCGGCCTTCTCCATCGTTATGCACATAATGTATACCTCGATTTTTCGGCTTTGATTCCGAAAGACAAGACTACGGACTGACATGTCCCTTCCACCCCCGACGGGACATCGCGCTCGTCGAGTGCCGAAAATTCTTCACAAATTCCTTGCCTCTGCCAACGCCTTCCCTTCTGCCCGCCCCTACAAATCCTCTACCCTTCTTTTTCTTCCCTTCCTCCCGGACACTCACTACCGTCCGTCCTGGATGTTGGCCCCCAGCCCCATTGGGGGGCGGGGGGCCAATCCTTAACCCTAGTATTCCTCTAACGCTTCTCGTCTAGAATATTTCCTGCAGTTTTGCGTTCCAACGTCTGATGTGGGCGGTGTTTGGATGCCCCGGTGCGAGATGACTGACGAAGACCATTGAATTCGCCAACGGTCGGCAATACGTCGGACGGTAGCTTATACATCCAACATGTACGGGTTACAGTAGACCCCGCACACCTGAGGTCTGCGCGGAACCCGGAAATTGACGATGCATGCATATGTTCGGCTCGCAACTCGGCGTCCGTTCAGCGTCCCGTAACTCTTGCAATTGCCCCCACCAAAACATCATTAGACAGTCACGTAAGGTACAAATACGAGTGGTTTACGTGGTATCCTAACTGTACTACTCTGTTGGCCTACGCGGTGAGATAAGGTGTGGAGTACAGGACGAGTTACGCGGTGTGCGACAAGTAATCTACGGTTGGTTTGTGGGGACGAGTCGGAGGGGGGACCGGACGTGAACGCCACAATCGTGACACAAATACCTTGTGATCAGTGAGACATATTGTACAGTTAGCGCCCCCGCTTAAAAACTTGGGAGTAAAGAATTCAGGCTAACAACAAGATACTAAGAACTTGATCATAGGAACGGGTGCTCAGTCGAGAATCCCACACTAAAACCTATATAGTAGTTGTCAGGGTATACCCCATAGAGAAAGTAAGAACGAGCCTCGGGCAAAACATGAGCGGGCGCTAGCTGTATTCTCCCACGTTCGTCTGGGATCGAGTGCGAGTCACCCGGGCCGCCCAAGCGGTAACCTCGAAACCCTCGGGGGGCGACAGTAGGAGGGCCGAATGACTTCAGCATGAACTTCTTTATTTGGTATTTGCCAGCGAGGAGCCAGAGTGTTGCCAACCTACAAATTTGTAGAAATGCGGTTGTGTAGGTAGAAATTGGGTGCCATGTGATGAATATGAACGATAGCAGCGGCCGGGCTTTCGGGGTCGAAAATAGCCTACATGTGTAGATTAGTCGATAGAACAGGACCACCTGCTGGCGGATCCCATGGGTTTCGACGAAACTTTGCGAATTAACATGTCGTGATTTCGATGCCACTACACGAAAGAAACTGATGCCGTCTTTCCGAGCATTGCTTCCGTGCACAAGCCGTCAGTTCATTCCTGGCTGCGTACCCCAACGCATTTGCCATGCCACCCTACATATATAGGTCACCCACCACATCAGTGGACACACGGTCGCTCGCTGTGTTCGCTTGTTGCTGTGGAGTCCCCGTACCCTCGGTCACAGTCTAAATTAGCGGCAACCAACGGGGGAAAAATCTCCCATGCGACGCTCTTGTTCGAATGATGTGTTGAGCGTAGCAGGCCTGCCCATTGAGCGCAAGAACGCACCATGCGACGACAAGCCTGTATCGTCCAACATCCGAAGCTTTGGTAGAGCTATCCCCGTTTCATGCAAGGGTCGTACCACTCGGGGATTCCCTAGGTGGAGGCTTCGATAGTAATGGTATCGGAATGATGAAGTTTCCAACGGCAACACTGAAAAGTGTTTGCCACGGCACTCTTGGCAGGTATGGTGGGTACCATCATCCGTCTAGGTTTGGAGGCTGTCGGGGGCTTGATGTAGCTCCCGCAGCAACTCGTCTTGCTCCACCGCTTAACGTTTAATGGCCTCCTCCTCGACCACACCACCTACCACACTTCCTTCAAGTCCCCTTCACTGCCGCATCTTGCCGACGTCCACATCCGTGATTTCAACGTCCGCTGGCGGAGAGGCCACTATGACTGGTCTAGGGGAAGTCGTGGTGACCGCCTCCTGCTTGCAGAAAACTTATGGTCCACGTTGATATCCTCACTCCGAAAGAATAATCTCAAGGAAGGCATTCAGGGCAGCAAGCGCTCGACCATGGAACGGACAACACCAAGCTACTGTACCTACAGTTGCCAACAATGTACAATGAGACAACAATTTACACGGTTATCGGCAGCAAAGACCCGGAGATGTTCGTGCACTTTGGGGCGAGAAACGATCATTCCTCCGTTTGTGTCCGACTCTCGTCGGTTGTGAAGGATGTTTGGGTCCCTACGGTGTAAAATGTATTTTACGCTGACTCCTCTTGTTGCAAATGCGCGTTCAGCTCGAATAGACGTCCGGTATCTCCGCACATTGACATAGCCAAAGGTGTTGTTATACCTGGGACTTGCGCTACAGGCCCCCCTTGCTGCTTAACACAAAACTCGAAACCGATTTCAAGGAGAAGTCCAGTGGCGACCGTCTGGAACAACGAAAACGAGTCACCCATACTGTTGTACAATTATATCAACCCCCGCCAACGTGCGGTGCACCACTCGACACTCACATAAAAGAACTACTCAATTGACTTGCTAAGACCCCTATCAGGCTCAACCTTCAATCCGCCCGCAGCTCAACTTTCGAGTACCAAGATACCCATGCGACAATCAAGGATGCGTTGGCGAGGGGGGGGGGGGGGGGACAAGCTTCCGGGGGGTGATGTAAATTACCCGGTGCTGTTCGGATTGTACCCCACAGAGTAAAGATCTTCCAACCAAGCCTGCGACAGCTGCACGTCTGCCTGCTCAAGGACCCCGTACTCGTACATCTCCACCATGAGCGCGTCGATGCGTTCCGGAAGGCCAACGCCCGCTTCGCTTGCGGCGACCGACTGCCGGCGGTGGCCGTCGAGGAACGCCACGAGCGCGCCACTCTGTTCGTACAGTGGCAGCTCGGCTTGGAAGTCGGCCAGATAGTTGTGGGGATTCCGTATCTGGGTGATTCGGGGGTTTGGCGGGGTGGGGGGGGGGGGTCCGTCGTTGATTGGCCTTGCAACTTGTCACTTGAAGGCGGGACCATAGCATGGCTACAATTTCTTTCAGGATGGATACCAACACGGCTGTGTTCAATCGTTGCCCGTGAGTTGTGGGGGCTCTGACCACGCAGCAGACACGTTCGCGTGCTTTACGGGCTACCGCGCCGTAGCTCATCTGGGGCGAAACGTCAACACACAACTTTCGGGCAAGATGGAAAAACTAGCCAACCGCCGAGCAACACCAACGACAACCTGGTGTATCTTGATCGCCACAACCCACTGCGATTATAACGCCACGAACGACGGCAACAGTCGCCCCACTTTCGCACCTGCTCCACCCATGCCGGAGCGAATGCTGTCACGGCCCCCGTGGACGTCAGCAGCGTCTGCGTGAAGTAGCTTCGCCAGATATCGCTGACCCTCCCGTGCACCGTCACCGGGAGCAGCATGCCCCAGAAGGCCGGCGGAAAGTGGAGAGTGGCCTGGTGTCGTGGGCAATTGTACGTTGGTGATATGCAATCGTAAGGGCTACGTCGATGGTTTTGTCTGTGACAGTCCCACAGTCGAGAAAGGGAAAAAGCGGGTGACCGGCGCAGGCACGTCAAAGAGAATTTGTAGGGTGTGTCGGCAAGGGTTGGGGGCGGGGAAGCGTAGTCATCGCTCCTAAGTACCAGGATTTACCTTCGACCACGCATACATACACCAGAAAAGGCATCCTCCCGCACGCAGAAACCTCGCAAATCACCGTCACACAAAGGCACGCCAAGAAAAGACCCCCGAGATCACCTGAGCATTGTACGGCGTGAAAGCCGCCGGGGGCACGATCTTGAGCGAGCTCATCCCTTCGGGGACCGGGTCCGGAACCTCGAAGTCAAACGGGAGGCCCCCCGGAGGGTACGTGAGGCGGTACACGGCGTCCACGTCGGGGTCGTGATTGGCCAGCGCCTGCACCACCCCCAGCCGCCACCCTTCTTCGGGGGCCGCGCTCTCCCCGGCTGAGTCGACTGCCACCTCGTCACACCGGTTCGAGTCGGCGTCATTGATCGAGTCGAGGGGGAAGCCCCGCGGCCACACGTTGCCGGGGCCCCCGAAGCAGCCGTAAGGGTTGTGGACGAAGGCTTCCGGCCCCACGGCGAAGCTGGTGGTTGAGGCCGGGGTGACGGGGGAGAGGGCGTGGGGGACGCCGGCCTCCGGGTGAATGAGGGCGTTGTCGTCATCGACGTCGTAGATCACCTGGCAATTGTTGTTTTCGGGTGTTGCGAAAAACGCACCGCCGTTTGAGTCGACGACCGCAACAAGCGTGGAGCAGAAGAAAAACAACATGCGACGGCGAGAGACACGTGTGCAGTGGGTGTTTGCAAGAACCAGGACCAGTGTCGCCAACAGCGCAAAACACTGCTGTATCGCATCACAAGGCAAGAAGGCGATGTTGCAACGTTTTCACCACACCCCGGGGTGCTGTGCTAGTAGGGTTCAAGGGCAGGAAATCGCAGCTTAGGTATCTACCTACCCCGATGTCTAGGTCCAATCGGGTGGGGTCGCCACTAGTCGCACGCCTTAACCAAACATGGCCCATTTAGGCAAGCTCACGGAAACGCCCAATCTGTGCCCCCCCTCCCCGGTGTTTGCCATCGGGGTTGGGTTTTCGTCGCTTTGCAACGACGTTGTAAAACGTGCCGCCCCCCCCGGTGTTTGCCATCGGGGTTGGGCTTTCGTCGCTTGGCAACGACGTTGTAAAACGTGCCGCCCCCCCCGGTGTTTGCCATCGGGGTTGGGTTTTCGTCGCTTGGCAACGATGTTGTAAAACAAGCCAATTCACTTTGTGAACTCGGCAACCAGGTTACCGTCTTTTTTTTTTTTACCTCTGGTTTTGTTTGGCGGTAACCATGAATGGTGGTCGAGTAGATCATGTTGTGCGGGGTCGAGAACCCTCACTCCGCGCAAGGGGGATGATCGCAACACGTTGTGTTAAAATGGTCAAGCATCCTCGAGGCAGTTACACAGCGCTTACAACTGTCTCTGGAAGTGAAAGCACCAGAATATAAATTAAGTCATGCGCAGCTGTCATCCGTAAGCAAGGAAGTAAGCACAAGATGCCGAACACCCTTAGCAGGATGCAGCTCACCCTTCATGCGACTCGCCAAATACCTCACGGCGCTTCGCGCTTGGTGATGTGAGAGCCTGGTCCGGTGAGAACCCGGCGTGCTCTGTCCCGGCCTTGTAGGGATGCGAGGTCAATGGTCTAACGACTACGGCATGCACGACTGTGAGTACACCCCCCCCCCCCGTTCTCTCTCGTGCTCGCGTACCGTCTACATATGTGGAATGTGGTACATACCGTAGCTCCGTGATGCACGGCGTACAGGTACCCAATGTTCTTCCGACCGAAGTGGTTCCAGGGAAGCAGAGGCACGATGCGGTAGGGTAGCTGCTCTTGATCTTGAGGCGTGAGATAGATTACTCCCTCCACGTTGTACTCGGCAGGGCCTGGCAAGATGGGATCATGAAGCGGGACCACGATTGGTCGTGGAATTGCCCACGATTGGTGCTGCTTTTGGTGGTGACGGTGTCGCCGCTGTCGTTGACACCAGCAGGTGGTCGGTGAGGTGGACGACTGTTCCGACCTCCAATACAGCCACCACCACCACCCGCACCAACACTACTCTTAAGTTGCTGCTCCCAGTCGATAATGTAACCGCCACAGAGGACACCCGTCGTCGTCTTCCTCGTCTCGCATGCTGGTCATTGTCTTCGCTGTTGAGAAACTACTTTTGCAGACACCTCTTCCAAGCCCGTCTCTAGCCCCCTCTCGCTTCGCGCCATTGCCGTGAGCCTCTCTCCAACGTCCACGACAACAACAGCGTGTACCGAACATCAGTCCCTCGACAACGTCCCCACGCCCCCTCCACCGCGACGGCAGCGCCGTGACCAACAAGTACACATCGGGGGGCACGAAACAACAACAGCAAGGCAACTTTCAACATGTCACACCACGTCCAACCACACCCGCACCCACCATTCTGGTCGCCGACGACCACGACGCACCAGTCCTCCGCGGCACCCAGCTGGCGCACGGTGTCGGTGGGCTCGAAAATGGACGTCAGCACCGCCCAGCGCTCGCACTTCTCCGAGTCGAGCGGTGCCGGGAACATCGCCTCGGGAGCGGGCAGACGGGCACCTTCGTACCTGGTGCGCCAGAAGTACGAGGAGGCAGGCGTGGCCCCATGTATCCATGAGGCTAGCGATTAGGCCGCCGTCACCGACGTGCCATACGCAAGACGGGGTAACGCGCGGGGCGCTCGAGATTGCGTGCAAAAACAACACTGAAAGCATCATAGGCTATACCGTGCGGTGGAAATCGACGTCAGGATAAACCCACGACCATCAACAACCATCAGTGGCAACTAAGCAGTGAGAGAGCTCACGATCACGTCAGAGACAGCAGCCATGACAACAACTGTCTCCTGCAAGGAAAAAGAAACGCAACCAGGGCACGCCAAGGGAATAACGGACACACAAAACAGCAAAAACACCCCCTCGCATACGGGAAACCGCATGACTCACGTCCTGACTTTTTCCATCGCGAACAGGCTTCCGCCCGTGGCAGAAGAATGCCCCTTCTCCGTGTCCACTTCCACGGCCGCTAGCTGCCTAACGGCGTTCAGGGCCTCCAGCGCCGCGCGGCTCCGCGGGGCGGGGGCGGCGGCTTCCGTCTCCTGCCGAAGGTTTCGTTTCGAGCTGCCATCGGCGCAACAGTAGCTGATGACCACCGAGGCGAGCAGCAACGCGCGCAGCTTGCCGTGGGCAGGCAAGTACCTGGGGGCGGGGAATGTCCAAGTAAAACCTCAGTGCACCGCACAATACACGGTCGCTAGATGCTCCAGCGGCCCAGCAGGTGGATAAGGGAACACAACACTCAAAACCATCGAAAAATAAATATTGCGTTGGTTGGATGATGTAAACGGCAGTCTCGCGGTCAGATAGCCTTGGTACCAATGCATATAAAACGCGTCTTGAAAAGGACTAGGATTCCGTCGAATTCGGCGGGATAAAAAAAGTTTTTGCGGCAGAAAATGGGGAGAAAGCAGCAAAAATGACGGGACAAAACGAGGCCTTGGTTTCACCTCTAGTGTCCATCCAAAACCTGCGAAATAAAGTAACCCCTCAGGGATATACACCCAAGGGGCGGGATTACTGATGGCATTCCCGTCGGCCCTACAAGTAGCCCATCCTTTTCATCATCTCAAGGGGGTGATGCCAACCTCTCTTGGTTGACTGTGACTACTGCTGTAATTTCGACGACGACCGAAAGAGAACTCAGCGATGGCACACGAGATGGATAACACTATTTTGGAATTGTGCTGCAGGAAACCTCCCCACCCAAAAAAGAAAAAACTCCAGAGGTCGCACAGAGCAGCGGCTGGGACTTGTCTTGACCAGCATATCCCAACGTCTACCTCCACACGCCTTCAAAATATTTTCACCATTATAAAATCAAGACAAAACAGGCGATGCTGCGGGTGCAATAACAAGATCTCTGCGTTACAAAGTGCTCATGTTCGATGGGAAATCAGTACGTCAACAAACCATTCACGTTACCACTGCTAAACACGCCGTCACAGACCCAATCTCCCGAAACGCGCGTGAGCGGCGGTACTGCTGTGCCTCCTAGAGCTTGGATAACCAGCAGTTAGGCGGATTGGGTTCGTGGCGGGGCGTACAGCATTGGATCGTGAGCGTTTTTTGACCCAGGTTTGCGGACATTTCGGACCGTAGCGGCAGCCTTGACAGCGCGGCCCCAGCAACAGATCTGGGCGTGCTGACACGCGTAGCGCTTCACCATGATGTCCGTCCTCTACTGACTCCCCATCGTATATTAACACGTTCTAAGCAAGAGTGTCGCTTTCGATTCTTGCATTGAATATAGGCTGGTATCTGAAAAGGGGGTTGTCATCACTTCCTGCATGGAATAGAACTTGGATGGCAGCGGAGGGTCCGTCGGGGATAAGAAATGTAGTGCTCTGCCTCCATCCACTCCGTGGATTGTAGCCATAATTCTTCGCACCCCCATGATCAAACCCTAGGTACGATTTAGTGCACCCTACTACGTCGTTGGCCCTTTCCTAGGTTGGGGCAGGACGTCAGAACTCCCGGGCCGCGTTCCCTCTTAGGGAGGGCGATCAAGCATTGGGCGAGACTGCAAAGAACGGCGCAGACTAACCCAGTTTCACGAGTGCTTGGCTTGAAATGACGACGGCGAAATTTTTGCTCTCACGGATCCGCCTTCCTCCAACCAAATTCTAAATCCACAGCACTCGTGAACAGGTTCGGAAGAAGCCCAAACCAGACGTGTGGTGTACAGCTTCGAAAGTGTCCCAAGGCGATCCAACTGCCAGGAATTCGGTCTTTCGTGCGACAGGCTTGTTGCCGTAGGGTGCCGCACAACTTGGCGCAACGACAACCAAGGGTAGAAACAAACGGGCAAGGCTGAAAAAATACACAGACAGAAATGTGTAGAGCACTGCTGTGTTAAACTCGTTTGGAAGATGAGCCAAAAAACTATATACTTCCAAGTACATTGCTGTGGAAGGACCGCGTCGTACACAGCAAAAAAAAGTCTTTCCGCAACCCCGTTACCAAGCATATATATGCAATCGGAGAGAGTGCGTCTTCAAGCTGTCTTCTTTTTTAAGAAATTAAACATACATCACAGTCCTCTATTGTTTTAGAACATACCCTGCAAATGTACAACATTCAATGTAACGACGTACGTACCCGTTTGAGATAATACCTCAGTCGAAGGGGCGTCTTGAATTCTTCAACGGCAGGAAGTTTTTATTTCTATTAGGCCATTTGTCACGGTGTCTTTTTTATTAGATATTTTTTCCCCCAAAAGAGACGACCCAAAAAATGATCTACAAAAAAGATGACCCCCTTCTTGCGGTGCTGGTCCATCTTTTTTTCTATTCCGAGTCATCGACCGAAAAAAAGAGACCCTGCAACGGCCGTTCGTCACACATACATACACCTTCCACCGCTATGGTGTTTCGGTGATACCTCCGCATACAGTGAAGCAACAGCGATGACAAAGGCATCCGCCATGAGCTGTGTGTATGGTTCGTCTTGGGTGGTGGCTGTTAGAGACCACAGGGCGATTGGAGGCACGGAAACTGAGGTCGCGAGGGTCAACAGCACGCCGGAAAAATACCCACCGCGCCAGCAACCAGTCTTTTTTGCTCTTTGGCCTGTGTCGCAACTTTGGTTTATGGATGCTCCTTCGCCACCCACTCCAGCAACAGCGATGACAAAGGTATCCGCCATGAGCTGTGTGTATGGTCCGCCTTGTGTGGTGGTTGATACAGACCAGGAGGCTGAAGGGCGCTCAAACATTGTGAGCGCAAGAGTCGTGAACAAGCGGGAAAAATGACCCGCCTCGTCTTCAAGCAACTTTTTTTGCTCTTTCGCCCGTGTCGCAACTTTGGTTCATCGATGCTCCCTCGCCACCCAATCCAGCAACAGCGATGAGGAAGGTATCCGCCATGAGCTGCGCGTACGGTCCGTCTTGTGTAGTGGTTGACACAGATCAGGAGGCTATAGGGCGCCCAAAAGTTGGGTTCGCAAAAGTTGACAGCACACCAACAAAGACTCCCCGATGCTGCGTCCAGACTCTCTCGGCTCGTTTGCCGCTTGTTGCGCCGCACACATCGGGTTGTCCACTTGGTCCAGCCGAATGAAAAAACAACGCTACCGCTGATGCTACTGACTCTGCACCAGTCACATGACACAGCTCGTGTGAACACCGTTAGAGTTTGCGGGGATCAACCGTGGAGAGATTAAGTTTGTCGGTAGCGTCATGTGGTTGTGACCAAAAAAAGATCGCAGAAAAAGACAGCCCCGACTTATCCAAAACTGCCCCAGAAAAAACAGGATGGGCTTTCCAAAACGGGTTGTCTTTTTTTGTTGGCCTTTTTTCCCTGAAAAAACACACCGTAAGAAGGGGTTCTGTGGCCAGTTGTCTTTTTTTTTAGAAGGAAAAAAGAAAAAGACTGCTCCAAAAAAGAACCGTAAGAAAAGAACCGTAAGAAATGGTGGTGTTTTTTTTTAGATATTTTTTCCCCCCGAAGGGACGACCCGAAAAGGGATCTACAAAAAAGATGACCCCCTTCTTATGGTGCTGGTCGATCTTTTTTCTCTTCCTAGTCATCGACAGAAAAAAGAGACCCTGCAACGACCGTTGTCATATACTTCTACATAACCCTTCCACAGCTTTGGTTTTTCGGGGATATATCCGCACAGAGTGAAGCAGCAGCAACCGTAAAGCTGTCCCTCGCGAACTGTGGGTATTGTCCATCTTGTGTGGCGGCTGATAGAGACCACGGGGCGATAGGAGGCACGGAAACTGAGGTGGCGAGAGTCAACAGCACGCTGAAAAAATGCCCACCGCTCTCAGCAACCAGTTTTTTTTTTCTCTTTTGCCCGTGTCGTTGGTTTACCGGTACTCCCTCGCCACCCACTAAAGCAACAGCGATGACAAAGGTATGCGCCACAAGCTGTGTGAATGGTCCGTCTTGTGTGGTGGCTGATACAGACCAGGAGGCTATAGGGCGCTCAGAGATTGTGAGCGCGAGAGTGGTGGACAAGCGGGAAAAATGACCCGCCGCATCTTCAAGCAGCTTATTTTGCTCCTTTGCCCGTGTCGCAACTTTGGTGTAGCGGTACTTCCTCGCCACCCACTCAAGCAACAGCGATGACAAAGGTATGCGTCACGAGCTGTGCGTATGGTTCGTCTTGTGTGATGGCTAATACAGACCAGGAGGCGGTAGGGCGCTCAGAAGTTGGGTTCGCAAAAGTTGACAGTACACGAAAAATGACCCACCGCTGCGGCGTCCAGGCTCTCTCGGCTTGTTTGCCATTTATTTGCCGCACACATCGGGTCGTCCACGTGGTCCAGCCGAATGAAAAAACAACGGCTACCGCCGGTGCTACCGACCCTGTACCAGCCACATGGCACACCTCGTGTGACCACCGTTAGGGTTTGCGGGGATCAACCGTGGAGAGATCCAAGTTTGCCGGTAGGAGTCATGCGGTTGTGGCCAAAAAAAGATCACAGAAAAAGACAGCCCCGACTTATATCCAAAATTGCCCCAGAAAAAGACAGGATGGGCTGTCCAAAACGGGTTGTCTTTTTTTGTTGGCCTTTTTTCCCTGAAAAAAGACACCGTAATTAGGCCACTTGTTAGGCCACTTGTTAAGCTGTCCTTTTTTGGGCTGTCTTTTTCTCAAAAAGGGACAACTGGCCAAAGAACCACTTGTTACGTTTACGTTGTCTTTTTTTGCATTTTTGGACCTTCGAAAAAGGGACAGAAGAAAAAGACAGCGCCATCCTGTCTCTTTTCGGGCAACTTTGTGACAGGATGGGACTGTCTTTTTTTGTTGCCCTTTTTCTGTCACAACACATGACACTTGCCCACAAACTTGAATATCTCGACGGATGATCCCCGCAAACTCTAACGGCATTCACACGAGTCGTGTCATGTGACTGGTACGGAGTCAGTAGCCTCGGCGATAGACGTAATGTTGTCATTCGGCTGACCAGGTGGACAACCCGATGTGTGCGGCAAACAAGCGGCAAACGAGCCGAAAGAGCCTGGACGCAGCAGCGGTGGGTCTTTTTGGGGCACAGTCAACTTTTGCGAATCCAACTTCTGGGCGACCTATAGCGTCCTGGTCTGTATCAATCACCACACAAGACGAATCAGACGCACAGCTCATGGCGGATACCTTTGTCATCGCTGTTGCTTCGGTGTGTGACGAGGGAGCATCGATGAACCAAAGTTGCAACACGGGAAAAAGAACAAAAAATATGCTTGGAGACGCGGCGGGTCATTTTTCCCGCTTGTCCACCACTCTCGCGCTCACAACCTCTGACCGCCCGTCAGCCTCCTGGTCTGTATCAACCACCACACAAGACGGACCATACACATAGCTCGTGGCGGATACCTTTGTCATCGCTGTTGTTTCAGTGTGTGGCGAGGGAGCATCCATGAACCAAAGTTGCGGCATGGGCAAAAAAGAGCAAAAAAAGCTGGTGGTTGGCGCGGTGGGGTTTTTCAAGGTGCTGTTGACTCTCGCCACCTCAGTTGCCGTGCCTCCCACTGCCCTGTGGTCTCGATCAGCCGCCACACAAGGCGGACCAAGCACCCAGCTCGCGGGGGATAGCTTTACAGTTGCTGATGCTTCGCTCTGTGCGGAGATATCACCGAAAAACCAACTCGGTGCCAAGGTACTTATTGTGTGACGAACGGCCGTTGCACTTGTTGCAGGGTCATTTTTTTTTGCGGATGAGCAAAAAGGATCGACCAGCACCGTAACAAGGGGGTCATCTTTTGCTAGATTATTTTTTGGTTCGTCCCTTTTCGAGAAAAGACAGCCCAAAAAAAAGACAGCTTAACAAGTGGCCTAAGAAGGGGTTCTGTGGCCAGTTGTCTTTTTTTGAGAAGGAGAAAAAGAAAAAGACAGCTCCAAAAAAGAACCGTAAGAAATGGCCTAAGGCCGAGTACGTCGTGATTATTTCGGAGATTTTTTTTCTCTCGGTGGGGGGGGGGTAGTCTGCAAGGGAAAAATTATATGCATCCAAACGACCTTCTTACGGTTCCTCGAGACAGATTTTTTTCTCAGGGGAAGAAAAGGGCCGATTCAAGTCTTCGTGGGTCACAACATGCTTCAGTTCACGGTTTTGGCTCGTGTGCGCCAAACAAGACACCGAGTGCCCTGTTTTTGGGTCACCTCCAGAGGGCATGTATATAATCGCACGCCAGTGACTGCAGTTTGTGGATGTCGTCGGCCAAAGGCCTCTCTGCATGCATAGTGGATTGATCACGCTCGGAGCAACCAGAAAAAAAAAGGCAACGTTAAAAAAGTCAACATCGCAACACACTTCGGTTCACGTTTACAGGCCGTGTGCAATCAAAGCTGGACAATACGCTCTGCTTCTGGGATGCGAGCAGAGCGATTGTATCCATACACTCCATTGGCAGTAGTTTGTGGATGTCATCGGCCGAAAGCCTCTCTCTGGCATGTGTTGTGGACTGGTAGCGGGTGACACACGGAACAAACACGCGGCGGAACAAGAAAAAAGTCCAAAAAGTCAACACCGCAACGCACTTCGGTTCGCGTTTACAGGCAGTGTGCAATCACAACTGGACAATATGATCTGTTTCTGGGACGCGAGCAGAGGGTATGCATATGATCACACGCCACTGGCTGCAGTTTGTGGATGTCGACGGCGTCAAGCCTCTCTCTGGCGTGTGTTTTGACTGGTCACACATGCAGCAGGCACAAAAACGGCTCTTTTCGGCCCAAAGGCAAGAACGTCAGCAGAGCAATGTGGCCGGGTTGACGTTATCGGCTCGTGTGCGGCCAACACGACGCAGCACGCCCTGAATTTTTGATACCTGCAGAGGGTTTGTGCATGCCCTAATGATACTGGCCTCTGTTGGGCCAGCAGACGGTGTAGTTAATCGTTCTTGCACGATCGGGGTGACCAGGGGGTACCCCCCCCCAATTCCAAACTGGAAATTATCAGCCGATCCAGTTTGGAAAATGGGCCTATTTTCCAACGCGGCAGCTGGGATCCTAGGAAATATTCGGCGATTTGGAATTTGGGCGTTTGGAATTGGCCAAATTCCTCCGCGCAAGACGCTCAAATAACTACCAGTACATGTATTTGGGCTGAGAAAAGGACCCCCCCCCCAATAAAAATCCCGAAATAATCACGACGTAAGGCCATTTCTTGCGGTTCTTTTTTCGCAGATCTTTTTTTCCCCCTTTCGGACAACCCAGAAAGGGATCTACGAAAAAGATGACCCCCTTCTTACGGTGTTGGTCGATCCTTTTTCAACGACCAAAAAAAAACAGACTCTGCAACGGCTGCTGTCACACATACATGGACCTTCCCACCGAAATGGTTTTTCGGTGATATCTCCTCACAGAGTGAAGCAGCGCCTACTGTAAAGCTATCCCTCGCGAGCTGTGTGTATGGTCCGTCTTGGGTGGCGGCTGACAGAGACCACAAGGCGATAGGAGGCACGGGAATGGAGGTGCCGAGAGTCGACAGCACGCTGAAAAAATGCCCACCGCGCCAGCAACCATTTTTTTTTGCTCTTGTGCCCCTGTCAAACTTTGGTTTACCGGTACTCCCTCGCCACCCACGCTAGCAACAGCGATGACAAAGGTATGCGCCACGAGCTGTGTGTATGGTCCGTCTTGTGTGGTGGCTGATACAGACCAGGAGGCTATAGGACGCTCAGAAATTGTGAGCGCGAGAGTGGTGGACAAGCGGGAAAAATGATCCGCCGCATCTTCAAGCAACTTTTTTCGCTCTATTGCCCGTGTCGCAACATTGGTTTGTCAGTACTCCCTCGCCACCCACTCAAGCAACAGCGATGATGAAGGCATGCGCCACGAGCTGTGCGTATGGTTCGTCTTGTGTGATGATTGATACAGACCAGGAGGCTATAGGACGCCCAAAAGTTGGGTTCGCAAGGTTGACAGTACACGAAAAATGACCCACCGCTGCTGCGTCCAGGCTCTCTCGGTTTGTTTACATCTTGTTTGCCGCACACATCGGGTTGTCCACGTGGTCCAGCCCACTGAAAAAACATTGGCTACCGCCGGTGCCACCGACTCTGTACCCCAGCAACATGACGCAACTCGTGTGACCGCCGTTAGAGTTTGCGGTGGGCCGTCGAGAGATTCAAGTTTCTAGGTACGAGTGATGTGGTTGTGACCAAAAAAAGACAACAATTTTGGACAGTCTCCACTTGTCCAAAACTGCCCCAAAAAAAGACAGGATGGGCTGTCCAAAACGGGTTGTCTTTTTCTGGCGATCTTTTTTTGAGGAAAAAAGACATTGTAAGAAGACCTTCTACGGCCAGTTGTCTTTTTTTGAGAAGGAAAAAAGAAAAATATCATAAAAAAAGACAACCGCAAGAAATGGCCTAAGACTCGGCCTACAGAAGGGGTTCTGTGGCGGGTTGTCTTTTTTTGAGAAGGAAAAAAAGAAAAAGACAGCTCCAAAAAAGAACCGTATGAAATGGCCTTACTCTTCCAAGAACATATGGCTGCTTTTGCGGTAAGTCCATCTCTTATCCTCCGATGGATTGTATGATATTACTCCGAACGGGGTGTACAGCAGTCGTGCTTCTATGGGAGAGATGCATCCATGGGAGAAAGCCCTTAGTCATTGTTCCTGAGTAAGGCGATAAGGCCAGACGCCATATCCTGGACATAGGAGGATTGATCCAGGTAACCATGGGCCTAGACGATTGCATCTCCAGCAAACATGCGGCAGACATTCGCCCTCGAAGTCCATAGGTGTGCGACTGACTGCTGTTGTACACTACCGGTATACACAGCGCCATCCGTTCAGGGGTAACCTCTTTCGCAGAGGGCACGCAGACGGGTGCGCTAGCGGCCAAGCCGGCCGCAGACAAGGTCAAGGAACAGTGCTTGGGTAACAGCCAGCTTAATATTAATTGGTGCTACGATGCAGAGGGGAGATGGAGATGCAGAGCAGGAACATTTCATCACTTGAAAAAAAAAAGGGGCACCAGTGCATATTACCGGTTCTTTACCCCTGGGGCCAATCCACACTCACATATTGATGGACCTTTCCCCCGCGTGAGGTTGACGACCAGCAAAGAGAGGTGATGTCCCACGTGTTGATCAATCTGCCACCCTACTAGTACAAGATTTCCCGCAAGTCTGCGTCCCTGGGATCGCCGGCGCTAGCTCGTGTTCTGTGTGTTGTCCTGTCGGGCCAAATGGCAAAGCAAGGCTGGAGGGGGCTCCGCGTGTGCAAGAAGGAGACCTTGGGGGCTACGATCTGATTCGCCGAAACGGCGCAGTTTGCCCCGCGTCAGGTAACCTCACCACAATGGCACACACCTTAGAGATGGATTCGTTGGGTCAGACTGATGAAATAAAAAACAACGTGTGTCGAATGTTGTCCACGCATGCATCCTCGTCGGTCGTTTTGACCCTAAAGATCGCGCGCAACTATTCGAAATACGCGAACGACCTGGACCACTTGCCCGAAAAATCAGCACACAGCCGTGGAGTTTACGCTATTGAAGGGGAATAGACTATAGCTACAGCAGTAACGAGAGAGCCTGCCACGGGCACCGCGACACACCATGAACCACATGTACAAGCCTGGCCTAAAACACGATATGGACGATATGGATGATATGTACATGTGTACAAGCGTACAAGCACGAGCCACCATTGATAATAAATCGTGGGCTTGAAACAGGCCACTTGGCCACAACAAACCACAGGTGATAAATCTGCAGCATCCACGAAACACCCACCACATCTTACAGCAGTAGTCTAACATCTTACAGCAGTAGCAGCGCCTCCACTTCATCCATAAAAAAGGTACTTTGAAGTAGAATTGCAGTGAAATTGTTAAGATAGGGAGGCGAAATCAGCCGGGGGATCGGCTCATACCTGCCGTAGTCCGCGTCAATCTGCGATGCTGTGTTATGGTGGACTTAGACTTCCGCACGTAAACATAAACGTGCAAATAAATATACGTCTTGGTTGGGACGAAAAGGAGAGTACTCCGTACAGTCTAGGGTGGATTAGGCCCACCGGAAACCAAGTTTGGGGCCCGTGCATCATCGTGTTGGACCAGCCCGATATTTAGGTGGACGCCATTTTTTGCACTCCTGGGATGGACGGAAAAGAGGTCGCGCTTGGCGCTCCGCGGCTGATAAAATAACTCAAAATCTAGAACCTGAGCACCATTTGGGAGCTCGGTTAAGAACTACACTAATAAAATCTGTACAGCGGCCATTCGTAGCATCATCATGTTTAGGAGGAGGAGCCGATTAGCAGGGTATCCGTCGATTGACACGCCAATCCCGTAGAATAATAGCGCCGGTTCGGGGTGCGTTTACGCCCCCTCGAGCTTACGTCCGGCTCATGTTCCTTCTCCACCGGCGCTCACTACCGAACGCCTTGGCGTTGAGATGCAACGATGCGACCGCGACGACGTTGACCGTAAGGTCCTCTTGCGTGGCCCGCGGAAGGCCTAACAACTCACTCCCGAAAAGCCTTGTCATTACCTATTGAACAGGAAAAATTCCCCACACAAGGGAGCCTTCGCAGGTGACGTGCGGAAAAAGGACAAGGAATTGATCTGGATGCCAAGCCTACGTCCACAACAAAGAAGGGTGATCGATACACAGAGCGCACTGCTTCGACACGCGACCTCAAGCAACAAGAGTAAAACAAACAAAACGCGAAAAAACTAGACATACATTTCAAAGCAGTACCTCGCTTAGTCTCATCCTTCCATGTAAGCCTATGCTATTGTAGTTGCGTTTACCGTCAGAGGCCATCGGCCATGTGGTGTCCCAACACAGCAGTGGCACAGGTGATGCCTGGAGGTTCCAACTCCACAATAAAAAAAACAACCACGTTGTATCCCACGTATATATGCCGGAGAGTCCCATGCCAAGATCTCCCCAAGAGGACTCCCTCCCCCATTTCACGCCGACACATGGCAGGGAATCCGACCGCTTGTGGAATACAAGGCACGCCAGCGAAAATAATAAAGAAAGACAATCAAAGAAGAACTCACAACATCGGGCAATTTTCCCCGCATCAGTTAATGGCGGCATGCAATGGAGGGAAATGCTGTACATGGTAACGATACATATATATATATATAGGGTTGATTCTACTGCCGCCTCTAACACATTAAGCCTGGTGGATGTCTTGCTATGCGTTCATCCATCGCCCTCCCAACCGCAGTTGTGCGTCCCACATATTAACGGTTGGGGATTCTCTTATACCTGCGCCAGCATATCGATACAATTAAGTTTCCTAACACGTCCGATAAGACGATATCTACACTTTTTCGAACCAAGACGAGAAAAAAAAAAAACGAAGTACCGCCAAAAAAGGAGCGGTAGCTCTGTTCAACGTGCGCCCACGATCAATGGGTGATCGTGAGCTCGAAGACAGCGAGGGTGTTGCTTTCCTCGTAGGCGGCGACCAGCAGGGTGTTGCCGCTGGGAGACATGTCCGCCGAGATGACTGTGGCCGACTCGGGGGCCGTGTCCTCCTCGTACGAGTTGACGTACGACTGGAACACCGGAGCCGTGGCGTCCGTTACGTCCCAGCACATCCACCCGCCGATGCGCTCCAAGCCGACGAACACGTAAATGCTGCAGACGGGAAAGATTCCGGTGCAGGGAGGGGGGGGGGGGTTTCGCGAGGTATTTCTCCTTCCGACGGTGCTTTCGGGAGGCTCTCCAGATGAAGGGAAACGTGAAGGTTGACTTGGGGGTATTCGGTTATGCACAAGTTGCTTTGGTGGGGGGTGGGATGGCACATGAAGACGATTTTATTCTCGAACACCCCTGCACCCTGCATTACGCTTCGCGTGTGAGCCATGCCATGCTCGGATGCGCCCTACAGAAGAGCTGTCTGTGGTTGATTGCCATCTTTCCATCCACTTAATAGTTAAGAATGACGCGGGGAGAAAGCTCTCCACCGCGGATGCCACGGAAAAAAAATCCTTCAACCCTGACGTCTATGTCTTTCTCATGGCGAGCTCGTCTGATTCCTGCCTGCAGAAGACGCATGCCTATTGATGATGCGTTGCGTGATCCTATGTTGGCACGAAAATGGCCACAAAAAGAAGCCATCTTCGCTAGCATAGCTACTAGTTGCTGTCGACGACCGAGACAACGACGGCGCCGACCTTTTCAGCATAGCAGGGAGGCTGTGTGTTAGGGTATGCAGTGCACTGACCTGCCGTCGATCTCAGCCATAGCGAGGCCTTCGGGCTCGGGGCCCTTGTCGTCGCTGCGGCCATCGAACGTGTCCACGCCTGCGCGAACAAAAACATCGATCGATGCACTTGGAAGGTTTCGAATTTATCAGGAGCGTTGCAGAACTAGAATATATTTAGTAAGAGCGGGAAAAACCCTGAAGAAAGCAATCAGCACTTTGTCGACAGCGGGCACGGTTCGGGCCCAAAGCGCTTCGACATGACAAGCACACATAGCATTGTTCATTCAAAGACATTGATGATCGGCACACAAGAGAGGACTATTATGTCCAAAAATCAGCGACAGCTCATAGTGTCAGAGAGTAGGTGAACGGCGAACACTCCCAGTATAAATAGATATATAGGTACGTGGAGAAAATACGAAGCACGAACGTTTCGTCGACCTCGAAGGAGGAGGAAGGAGGTGATTCAGCGTACAGAACGGGGCCGGAGATGAGGAACGTCAAAATCGGGTCGAGCCTCCATTTCTTATTTGGGCCGAAGGACCAGCCGAAATCCGCCAATTTCTTCAAACGTACTTCTTACTCCTTTGGGCCGTCGCATTCTGCTGATTCTCTGATTTCTTATTTTCTTATTTCTGGCGAAGAAAGCAACACACCAAGCCTTCATGCAACATTAAACCGATCTCGGTGTGGCAAACATTGAATGGGGTTGTCGTCCTCCTGAACTTCCTGACTCTCGCGATGTGTGGCAGTACGGCAGACAGCACCAGTGGGTAGCGCAGCCCGCGGTGGCGCTGGGGCGCGGTGGGCGCCGGGAAAATATCCACTCTCCCCCCCTACCAAAACAATTACATGAGCTAGGTAGGAGTGGGAGCATGGCAGCAGCTGCGACTACGCGCTGTTTTCTTATGTCTCGGGGTATCGCACGATCATGTTTCTTATTGGGACGTTTCTTACGTTGTGGCCGGGATTGAGCTGTGTTTCTTAGCCCATTTTTCTCATTTTTCGTAAACATGTGAGCCTTTTTCTTATCAGAATTGTTCGTAGTAGCGGATCCGTTCTGTGCCACACACAAAAACTATCGTTCCGGATGTCATGAATACTTGGCTTACCGCCATTCGAATTGAAGATGTCGCTGACGCCGTTGGCTGGGTCGGCAGTGAACTGCTCGATGAAGTCTCCGCTGTCCCACACCAGCTCTCCAGTCTTGCCGTCGAAGATCGAAATAGACCTACAAGCAGCCAGAGTCATAGTGTGTGCATGCGCCCGAACGTCGTTGCTATAAATTACACACCGTGTAGCACCGCAACGCTGAAAATACTGATCTTCTGAATCCAACGACTTCCGATCGGTTTCCGATATCGTAGACAATTCGACGATGTAGCACTGCAACTCTGAAAACACTGATCCCTTCAAATTCAGCGAAACCCATTCGGTTTCCGACAACGTAGACTATTCCAGCGAACTTTTTGAAACAACGCGTTCCTTTTGGTTGGTCTCGTGCCGCATCTGAGGCAGCAGACAGTCGACGCGTGGGGACCCATCTGTACCTCGACTCAGGCGGAGTATTCAACTTTGAGTTTGCTCGACCCTCACCCACTTTGAGCGATTGTCGGCTGGTGCACAAGTACAACCATCCCATGCACAGCTTACCCTGTTCGTTCAAGGGACAGTGCTCCCCACCTTGAATAGATGAGTGAATGAGAGCATTTTTTTATGTTGCCCGGGATATGCTTCGTCCTACGGTACTAACCTGCCGCCGAAGGCGTACAGCTCGTCGATGCTGCCGTCAATGGGCCCGGCGGTTGTCACCTGCTCGCAACGAATTGAACATCCCACGAAGACGAGGTCGTTGGCGCAACACGTGAAGCAGGCTGGCCGTGTTCGTCTGTGGCTAGTCAACGCACCGAGCAACTAACGAGTCGAGTCCTATTGTCGCGGGGAATACAGAATTATTATCCTTATACATGTGTTGGAAAACGCTTTCGTCGTCAAGCCCAAGAGGCAAGCGCGGGTGGGGTCTTGCGGAGGAGGTCGCAAAGACGTGCTCTTCGCAGCTTCCGTTGTGCGCACGCGTGGTCTAGCCTGCTCCGTTCCCGGTCAGCCCCTGCTTGCCTTCAGCCTGCCGAGAGCTTCCGGAGTGTAGGGAGTCATGGTGGCGTCGAGGCCCAACTCGGTTGCGAGGTCCTCCACTCGGATCTCGTCGGTGAAAAATTCTTCTGTGTCCTCTTCACCATATTCACGACCATCACCCTCGTTCGCAGTTAGGAAATCTGTTGTAAGGTTACGTAGAGAGGGAAAGTTGTTTGTTGTTGCTGACGGAGGTCAGGAAGGGTCTGAGATGAAATTGGGATCCAACTTCATCTCAGGGGGCACACAGAAAAAACAATTCTAACGGGGTATGGGTACAAGAAGGTATACCTCCTGACCATCCCACATTCCTGTCAACAAAAAAATGTGCCCTATTCATGCTAACAGCCACAACATATTTTTCCGGGGCTCCCGACAATTTCAGTTTTGGCAGTCCGCAGAACCCAAAAATCTCGGCGTCCCAGTTGTTAGTGAAAATCTCTACAGGTGCACCTTCCAACGTGCGGTGCAGCTGGCGCGGATGCTTTCCGCGGTCACAGGCAACGTTAAAACCGAGGAAACAATCCAAGACAAGAAAAAGGTACCTTGTCCACTCTGTTCTATGTTGAAGGAACCACGAGGAAGACTGTTGTCACAGATGTCAAAAAATGTTCTTCAGTGGACGGATAAGTTACTGATGGGTACTCTACAGAGCACGAAGAAGCATGTTGAAACACGCGCAACACCATTACCCGCTTGGTTGGCCATGATTGCGCCGTTGTTTCCTTCTACAGGGAGGTTCGTCAGGACGCAGTGGTTTGCGAAGTCGCTTCAATGTTCGCCTAACGGCACCAATCGCAAAACGCAAGAAAACAGCATTCCAATATGATCGATGTGGAATAAAATCTGCGTTGCGAGACTCACAGCGCCTTCCGCCAGTCTTGAAAGTAGTGATAGCATCGGGCATGTACATTCCCCTAACCGTGGGCCACTCCTGCAGGTTAATCATGCCGTCCTCGTCCGAAGCGTCGAACTTCATGTCGTCACCCCATTCCTGAGATAAGGTTAAAAAAACGAAGGCAGGACACTCCCTCTTGAATCCCGTTTGTTTCTACGTAGGACGAAGGAATGTTGACGTGAGGACAACCGGGGCCGAAGGAGGATGCACCGCCAAATAATACGGATGGCATGGGTACCATCACGAAACCGGACGGAAAAGAAGTAAGGGCGGACGGCAAAAGCCGCTCGCTGCTCTACGGGTCTTGGGGACAGCGCTGGTTAAGATTCTTGGAACACCAGGCACGGTTCAGGAGCCGAATCAGACAAGCCGTGGTATGAGCCGGTTCTTACCGCTGGTGTCAAGAGTTTTGGCACCGTTGGGGCCAAAGGCGGGCGTGGTGAGAAGGCCGCAGTCGCCCCCCGCCCAACGGATCGTCGGCATTAGAAGGTCTACTGCTGCTGTAACTACCGTACGTACAGTTGACTGTAGACTGCAAACGGGCCGATCCCTCCGACTCCATTCAAGCATCAGTCGTCCATACGAACGGTGTCTCATTTCCGAAGGTTCGGAATGAGGGCAGCCGTGACATGTTGATACGGTTACCCTGGCCGTTTTGTTTTGTTGTACCCACCTTGAATCCCAGGGGGTACATGCGCTTGACCTCGCAGCCCTTGATGTCGATCTTCGCCACCGCGTTGTTTTCCTGTCAGAGCAGTACGCCGGTGAAGGACAGCCTTCGTGAAGAACCATGTGCTTGAATAACGAAAAGATAAAGACCTCGTGCAGTACCAATCAACTCGAGGACCGAGCTTCGTGGGTGAAAGAACAACTTAGGTGCGTATGACCCCAAGAAGAACCGCTGCTTCCCTTCACTACGGTTGCCGTCCGACATATCCTCCCAGCTTCAGGAGCACCCTACGACGAGGTGGGCAACGGGACCATCTGTCAAACTGCTGATCATACCTCGAGGCAGGGTATTTTCTCAATGACTGCGCCTTCTCTTGCTGCGCGTGCGTGTCGTCTGACTGTGACCTCTGTATAGAACGCCAACGGCGTGTTTGACCCTCCCCATCATCTTCTGTCGCAGACAAGAGTCGTGTTTCCCGCGTTTAACTCCACCCTGAAGTTCCTCGCGTCATTATACGTCTTTCGCTCTCACCCGCCCTCTCTCCCCCTACACAGCCTCACCTGCAACGAGACGTAGGCCGTTGTGCCAAATTCCGTCACGGCGATGTACTCGGGTTCCACGTCCTGCGCCGATCGATTTCGTCAACCGTTACATGAAGACGGGCGGGACGGCGTAGGGTATGTGTCTTGCCGTAGAGATTTGGGTGGGTTGCGGTGTAACACCTCTTCGAGGTCGGGCTCTGTTCCCACTCGGTGGAAACGCGTCTAGAAGCACTACTGTGCGCTTGATGATTCTACAATACCTCTGGTTTCGGGCAAAAAAGTACTCTTTGATATACAGTCCTGCGCCCTTTCTCAACCGCAGTACATAGTCCGTCCTTTGTCCATATGTATCTCAAGAACGTGACCATTTGTCCGGTTGCATACCGGTGTGGCACTTACTCTCGCCGCAGGTATGATCCACCAGCCATCTATAAGGGATCCCATCGAGTGCCGCATCTACGGTCAAAACCCTCGGCCCCAACCACGTTTTGGACTTATCATGCAGCATTTCCATGTTTAAGAAAGATGGAGAACAAACCATGTTTTCCTCAAGCAGTGGTTGTCTGGAGACGCCGACAAATATCATCACGTAAAGAAGCCTCTTGCCAAGAGTACAATCCCCACAGTATGGGACACTCAGGGACCATCATACTTTCCGGCTAAGGTTTTGGCAAAGGCAAGACCGTGGTGGGAGGACAACAGGGTATCCAAGGACAGACGTCACCTTTACAAGGCGTTCCCTCACAGAGTTGCTCAAGAGATTACGAAACTCCTCTATCTTGCGATCGTTTCGTTCGGGAAAGGGGAGTCGTTTCCATCGAACGTGGAGAAATGTTCTCTGCGCAACTGTGAAGGGTTAGTGCTTGAAAGACTCCGCTCCCCGAAACGCGACAAACAGCTCACCATTGAGAGCGTGGTGAAGTTCATGCCACCCACACGCATGCCTCCATCGACGAGCCTGTTGGTGCGATCGGCGGTGTTGTATTTCTCGAACCCTACTTCGCACGCAGTCGCATACGTGTTGTCTTTCGTCGTACGCTTGAAGATCGAAACGGACCCTTCCGGATCATTCTCCGCGCTCACGTAGTTCAGCTGTTGAACAAGATAGCAACGACGTGGTGAGACACGGAAACGCACAAGAAAGGGGAGGTCTTGGGGCATCTATGTACAGAGATTCGAACCCGTGGTGTGTGTGGTACGTTAGGATTTTCTTCCCATGGATCATGAATTTTCTGTGCGAAGCGTTCCTTGTCCTGACGCGGAACGGTCGACTCCAAACGCTGCCGCTCGTTCTACGTCTCAACGTTGTCGAGTTGAGAGTCGAAGATGAGCGTGTAGAGCATCACGACGCTATTTGCGCGGAGCAGCTACTACATTCTGTGAACAGTCCGCTTCGCTCTTGCTGGTGGCGTGCTCATGCATTGGATGGGGGCGCCCACCTCCCCACTGTTCATAGGGCTGAGGGGGTGTCGGCCGATGCAGGACACGATAGACTACGCACGATACAACCTGGACGCCAACCGTAAGCCCTCACCGGTTCTCCTTCGTTGGCCGTAAGGATACGCTTGCCGTTGGGCGTGAACGTGATCATGTCTGGTAAAAACCCTGCTTCAAGGATCTGGACATCGTCATCGCAGAAGTCGCACCTGAACGTTGAGAACGTAATAGGGACGTCTTCAAGCATCAACCAGATCGGACGTACCTTGTCGGTGAGAGCTTAGGCACTTGCTCTCTGTAAAGGGTCATATCGTTGACACACTTTTTTTCGTCATGTATCCTTGCAAGCATCACACGAAATATGATCTGCAAACAGATATATTCTCGGAAAGCTGAATTGATACATTTTGAGAAACTGCGGAGCACTGCGAAGAAGCACCTACCAGTTCGGAGTACAAAGTATCTGTGGAGAAAAAGGTTAATTGTTACCCGTGCGTGTATCCTTTGTTAAGGGCTTATACTCAGTCATACGTCCACGATATTTCAAGTGCTTTCACTTTTGGCGCAATTCGTCGTTTCACTTCTTTACTGAACCTGTAGACCTGTGCGTACACCATTCGCTCGCATTCCGTTGGCGCATCTCGCAAGTACGGTTTCTGGGACGGAGGGCAGTTTTCCGAATTTTGTACCATGACAGACCGATGCAAAGCGAATTGCTAGACTTACGCGCTTCACTCCCTTTCACTCCCCGTGCTGCACGGAAATAAAGTCCCGTCCGTACACGGCCAAATAGTCCCCATGAATGCCACCCGCCGTAATCCACGATATACAATTCGACGAAGCGCTGAAGGAATGTATTCAATGCTTTATTTTCCCCCGTCGCATCAATATGGGGCTGGTGTACACTTGTTTCTATTGGCCGCCTCGTGCTTTCGTGATTGGTACACGGTAATCGAAAATGGCTTACCATATCCAATCCTCGCACGACTTCACCACGTAGACCCTGCCCCTCGTCAGCGGGTCAAATGCCCTGACGGAGATGGCGACCTCGTCGAAAACCGGGTTGTATGCAACCGAGGTTGGCTCTCCGAACGTGGTCATGCTGTCGTAAAACCCTAACTCCCACAAAGACAGGTCATCGCCCAGTTTCAGGATGGACACGCCGGTCGCCGACGCTGCGAAAACATGCTGTCCAGAGGGAGGAGGGGGAAGCGAACTGATTCCTCTGGTCAAGGACAGACGGGACAGCCACAGGCCGATATACATAAGATGGAAGGATAAACACAACACCGTGCGTTGAAGCGCATGCACATGCCAGCGTTGTTGAAACAAGCACTGATAACGTACCGTGTGTAAAGTGTTACTGCCGCGTGTTGCTCGCTATCCCTCAACAGTAGCAGAGGGTCTCCCCCGACACCTGCCTGACGGCAGTTATAAACTGAGATAGAAAGCGCCTACCAACCGCGTTTCTGAATCTGAGTAGCTCTGCGAATGAGCACGTCACCGCCGATCTATGGGCAAGGATCTGTAAGAGGCGGTGGGGGTATTCCCCCCTCAAGAAAAAAGTAAAGTGATTTTGGCCAAGATGAATATCTTCGGCGAGTGAATAAATTGTATGAATGGACGTCTTCATTCATTGATATGGACATCTTCATTCATTGATACCCGTCCACCCGCTGCTGCATCAATAGCCCGCTTCTCTCCCAGGCAGTTTTCACACTTTGGCCGCTGGTCGAGCTGTGTAGGATTGTGTTTTGGTGCTGACTGAAAGTTGCCGGAACATCTTTTGCCAGCTTTCCCCCTGGAACCCGCGGGTGACAAACAATTACAGGATAATACAATCGTCATCCGGGCGCGGGATACCAGCTGCTGTACTCGCTGCCAACAACCGTTATACGTTTAGGCAGGAATCCGAGTATCCGGGCAGCCACGTCATCACACGGAATAAGATGTATGTTCACTGTATTCCCAATCAGCACCGAGGGAAAAGTTGTGAGGTTTTCACATGTATCATTCTCTGAAAGCCTTGAGAACACCTTCAAGATGTTCTCTTCCAAGAGCTCTTCCTCTCCCCTTTCGCCATGTGGTCCATTAGCAACGAGGGGCGCCCTTTTCTTTGGGCGGCAATGAGAGTCATTCCTTGACAACAAACGCCGCTTGTATCTCTCGCGATAACATGTTTGTTGAAAAACAACTACAAATATACATCTGCCTTGTACTCATATCCTAATGCCCACACCTATACAGATAATTTACATGGAAACCCCCAGGAAAGACAAAGTCAGCATGCGAAAATGCATCGAGAATCCGAAACTCCACAGACAGGGCACAGATTCAGCCTCGACGCATTTAGACCGAACTCGTCACCAATCATTACCTCAAGACAGAGCAAAGTGATTTTGCCTCATTATCGGCATGTCCACATGAGAGTTGACTGCGCTCAGTCTGTGACATACCGTTTCACTCTGCATTGGTCGACCTGCTTCATACGTCCTCCACAACTGTGGCGCATGGGAGGTTGTACTCATGGAGCAATAGCTGGCTGGTTTTGATGAGATTTGTTCTTCAAACACCGTAGTATGGCATGATGAAACAGACCGACGCACAAGAGCAACCTTCAGCAACAGCACGTATTGAACGACGCTGTAGCCGCGTACGGAGATCCGCCTTGAGAGCTTCGGGTTTTGAACCGTTCAGCACTACTGTTGTGTCAGCGTGCGGCACACACAAATAAGCCACCTCGAGTCACAGCAGCAATGTTGTTGTAGGTTTGACCGACTCTCACCCGTTCGTAAAAAATGCCGATGAAACTTTGTGTGTTTGTGTCATCACATACATCAATCAGCTCCAGCAGGTTTGCTCTACAAGCTCATAGACGACTGTTGTTGTACTACTCCATGCCTGCTCTACGGCAGCCATGCCTTCTTTGGGATGCTCGAGAGTAAACTTCAATGGACACACACGAGATAGCCGTTTCGTCCGTGCATTTGGAAAATCCTACAGGAGCTGTAGGCAGTCGTGTGCGGGGAAATTATTCCCAGTCAGTGTGGAGGGTAATAAGGAACTAGGGCTAAGGATTGGCCCCCCGCCCCTCAATGGGGCTGGGGGCCAACATCCAGGACGGATGGTGGTGAGTGTCCGGGAGGAAGGAAAGAAGAAGAAGAAGGGGAGAGGATTTGTTAGGGGCGGGAAGAAGGGACAGTGTTGGGAGAGGCAAGTAAGTGGTGAAGAATTTTCGGCACTCGACAAGCGCGCGGTCCCGTCGGGGGTGAAAGGGACATGTCAGTCCGTAGTCTTGTCTATCGGAATCGAAAAGCCGAAAAATCGAGGTATAACATTATTATGTACATAACGATGGAGAAGGCCGACGAGGAAGGTACGAAAGAGAGGAAATTAATTGCACCCCACGTTCGAAGTCGGTGTGAAAACCGCCGCAAGGAAGGAGTACGAAGGGAACAAAAAAAAAAAACGGAGACGTCGACGTTTGCGTCGTGGAACGATCCTCCTTCCGTATAACGCAGGAGGTACTCACCAATGCAAGACGGGGAGGTAAAATGCCCATCGTGAAAGTCAAAGCGCAGGTCATAACTGCATATATATGACTCATGCGCGGAGAAGCTACCACGGAGACTTATCAACAGGAAGTTTGAAGGCCGGCTGAGAAGGTTTGAAGACACAAACACTTAAGAGACGATGGCAAGCGCAACGTCAAAACTTCACAACAAGAAAAGTGCTTACAAAAAAAGAAAAGGCCGGATGCCGACCTATGGCTCTCTCGGAATGAAGGGATTCCCAGAATTTCCAACAGGTAATCCACACGTACGGACATATGAAGGTACTGGGTAGAGAGAGATCGGAGCGGTTTTTATTGTGAAGACAACAGAACAACAACAACAACAACAACAACAACAACAACAATGATGAAGGTCGACCCGTCCTGCGTCGTTCGGTGTAAAATGATAAATGCGAAAGATGGACTGCGTAAAGATACAGCGGTCTTTTTCGGCAGTGGCAAAGAATATGCAACCACATGTATGTCGCAAAAAAAAAAAGTTGAGCGGGATACCGTTCAGTGGTAAATAGAACACCGCATTCTCTGTTGTTGCAGGCAGGTTTGCTTCCACAACCCGGGAACCCAACCCACTCTTGTATTTCGGCCTACAAGACTCCAATCGACGCAAGCACCGGTAGCAGAGTGCGTGGAAGATGTCGTGACAGCACAACTCCACTCTCCTACGACATCTATGTACAGTAGTACTGCTGTGGTTGTAGCACCATGTGGAAGATCTCCGAGGGGTCCTCCTGCTGCGCGGTAACGACAACATGGCGAGAGCCCTACGTGCACCTGTCGTCGACACATGTGGCAGCCGCACAACACACGAACGGATGTTTGCATCGCATTGTACTATGGTTCGCCGTGGCAGGAAGTATCCCATCCAGTTAGGTCGTTGCCGTAGTACGCGGATGTCGTTCGGCGTCTACAGTCCATACTGCTGAGCAAAAACATAGCAGTATGTAATCGAGCTATGCATGCAATTTTTTGCTCTGGTTCACTGTTGCCTCCACAACCCGAGAATCCCACTGCTGTATCTCGACCTACAAGACTCCAATCAACAAACCAGCACTGGCAGAAGTGCGTGGAAGATGCTGTGACAGCACAACTAAGTCGACACTCGTACGACTTCTATGTACAGTCGGCGTCTGGTCCATAAATTACTGCTTGCTGTAGAAAAATAAAAAATCGAGCCATTTTTTTTTTTCCCATACAATAACAAGAAATGTATCACGTCACGACGACCATCCTTAGAGTAGACAACATGATTGGGTAAGTTCAAACTCCACACAGAATAGAGACACGTTTACCAGACACGCACCACGCCGAGTCACCACCTCGCGTGGACGTGTGCCCCGGGATTCATCAGCGCTCGTTGCGATTCAACAAACTATAAACCGCAGTTGAGGCAAGCCGTGACAACGCAGGTAGTAGTAGGTGTCCAAGCCGAGATTGATTTGCAAGGGTCCGCTGCAGTGTTTATGTCAGTGCAGCTCGCCACGATTGAGTTCTTCTGCCGTATCATGTAGTCTAGTCTAGCTCGCACCGGCTCCTAACTATATTTCGACAATCAAATTCGCTGATGATGTCTCGGTTTGTTGGCGCGTGTGTGTCCTACTACTGTACATACTACTACGCTGCTGCTGCTGTGCTCAGCATCTCGCACACACATAAATACCGTATATGACACAAGATAACACACCCCCTGGACCGATTTTCAAAGCTCGATTACTCCACGACGAAGAGGATGCATAAATGAAACAATACGTTTTCGAACAGCTCTCGACGAGACGGTTCCAACGCCGCCGTTTTCGGCGCTGTGACTCTTCCTGCTGTTGAGAAATCGAGCTTTGAAAATCGGCCAAGGGGGTGTGTTATCTTGTGTCATATACGGTAGACATATTGTACAAACTTACCTTCTCCACGCTCTGCCCCTTCCTCTGTATCTTTCTTTGCTCGCTCATCCTCATGAAGATCACGATCAAGAAGAAACAATTTTTTAGAAATGCTGCTCATGACATCAGCCCCTCACCCATTGGTACCCGACCTCGCCCCGACCACTAACTGCGAACCTGCGAACCCGCACCTGTCCGCTGCCATGTATGCGCGCATATTTGTCTCTCCGGTCTACTGCTGCTTGTTACGATACAGGGCGGAAAGACTACCCATTCGAGATATACCCACAGCAGTCGAACGGGATGCGGTGGAGTCTTTTCAGTGATTATTATATCGGTCGCCCCGGTGGTCTAGCTGGTAGCCTCGTAACCTTCTAGAGGTCAGGTCAGGGGTTCGAATCCCGGCGTAGGCGAGCTTTTCTTGCAAAGTGAGTTTTTCTCTCGCTTCCGCTCCTGACCAAGTGGATAGCGCTAGTTCGTGTGTACACAGAGGCAAGAGAGTGCTGAACTCTTCTCGCATTAAAAATTGAAGACGAAGTACCGCAGGAGGGGAGGGTAGTAGAGAGAGGCTCTTCTGTGTGACCACGGGTTGGAATAAACGGCACTAATAGTAAGTAGTGCTGTGAGCGCTGATTTCAAGTGAAGAACAAAAAAAAAAAAAATACCACACACATCCGATCCTCGATCTACTCACACCACATGCATGCCTGATGTTGTCAACAAAGTTCAAACTCCCATTATTTTCAGCAGTGCACCTACCTACAAAATATGTGCACCTACAAAATAACGGCGGGTGAATACGCGAGACCGCCCCCCCCGAGAGGGGGGCGGGCGAAGCACCCCTTGTAAACCCTATGGAGACAGAGAGAGCAAGGTCAACAACAGTGGATACATCCCGACAGACGCTCACTTACGTTGTTCTTTCCTGCTACGACGATTTCCAGAGGATCCTCGTTCGTGCTAGCAAACCCTCCAACCTAGATGTACCAGATAGAGAGCAAGCGAGGGAGTCGGATTGAAATTGCGTCAGGGCGGGGAGCAAAAAAAGAGAGAGGAGAGCAGTGGAGAATAATGTACCAAGCACAAAAGAGGAGGAGCTGCAACCACACACCATCTACCACATGGAAGGCATCCGCGTCAGTTGGACCAGTATTGACGTATTGACATTAGAAGGTACTGAGGGGAGAGCAAACCGGTAGAGAGAACACAGCAACAACAATCTACTGCTGTACGTCTGAATGTATCTGCACGAGCTTCACGATAGATGTATGTGCAGCAGGGAACACTCTCATCAACATCGCAATCAGTGGCAGCTTTACCTTCGTCATAGTGAGATGGCCTCGGGTTGAAGCAGCCATCGTCAGGCCCGCGAGCATCTTGAGACACGACGAAGAAGCCATTATCGGTTCTGGGCGTGTTGGCTGGAAAAGAGGGAGTGGCGACCGCCGGGGACGGCAACCTGATGTTGTATGTGCGCAACGACCAGTAAACGCGGGCAAATAACGAGTAGTCTATGAATGTCTGATCTCCGAAGATTCTTTGAAGATTCGATTCGAGCGTGCCTGATGACGGTCGGCTGCCGCGCAAAGATCCCGTTTTCTCGAAGAAATGCAACTCATGTCGCTCCTATTGGACCTGACAACCAATCAATATGTTGTTGCAGTTTCTCGGTATCGCCGAATCTGACACTGTTTTTATTATTCCTCAACTATTGAGTCTGCACATTTCTGCATCCAAGATGCGACTGTTGTTGTGTGGGTATGTCTCGAACGCGGTACTTACTTGGTAGGGTTCCCTGATTTGGTCGTTCGTTGTTTCCCTCTCTCTGGCTGGGCACGTGGTCACGTGACGGACATGAGCTACTGCTGTACACAACAGGGTTTTGATTCGCATGCTTCCCATCACACATGACGGGCTCCGACGCTCCGAGCCCCCCCGCGGCAGATCGAATACTGCTGTAGCAGTAGTGACATGACTTAAGATACCGCACCCCCTGGGCCGACATTCAACATTCGTTTGCTGCTGCACGATGAAGAGGATGAACAAACCATATGGGGAATGTTTCGGAAAGCTCCAGATGAGACGGTCCTAAAAACGCCACCAGCCACCAGCATTTTTTTTCGGCTGCCGCTATTCAGCATTGCTGCCCAAAGAAGAAAGCCGGATTTCAGAGAGGGAAATTGCCTTGTCCCGACGCTACTGCTGTAATCGGATCGAAAATCGGACCGGGGAGTATGGTATCTTACGTCGTGTCACCTACGGTGGGAGATGTGCTCCTCGCATGCTGACCAACTGAAGCGCCACACGTAGCAGCAGCAGCAACCGCCTGCATCGCAAACGATATCAACCACAGCAAAAAACGCCATTCTCAATGGTTTTGCCCCTCTACCCACCGAGGTTTGTGCAATCACGGAACGGGGGGCCGGAGATACTCCGATGTACTAGATCAGATTTTTTTTTTGTCGTCGCCACTGCTGTCGAGCACAGTCTGTTCTGTAAGGGTTTTAACGTATGATCCATTGCTGGGGTGCCTTAACTATGTAGACCAACTTGCTAAAGTTTCGTGGAAAAATTGAGGGTCTCTCTCCAGCTGTATCTACAAAAAAAAGAATCCAACAAAACGCTGTTGGTTGTTTTTATCTGCGGGCGGGCCCGTGCTGCAAAGGGCGTGTTACCCCCTCCGGCGGGCGTCATGCTGGATGATGAGAGAAAAAAAAAAAAACTCTCTCGGGAGGTTTCTTACCTCAATATCTGGACTACTGCGTTGAATAAGGTCTTTCGATGTACACTATTATTAAAGCAAAACAACTGTCCGAGCAAGCACCGAGAAATTCACCACCACAACGTCTCTACGACAGACATCGGCAAGCACCGGTTATTGTACTAACGCCAGAAACTATTTGTCGCAGAGGAAGCCACTACTCTGTAGAACCCAACACCCAAGACAGGCAAAGAATAAAACCAAGCAAGCAATGCAGCGCGCCCCACACAACACTCTTCAGCAGCTGTTGTCCCGCGTGTGCTATAATAGCGAGCTCTATACCTTCGCCTCAAGCCCTAAGAACAACTACCACATCGTGTACCCACAACAACATCAACCACAAGTTTACACTGAACTGCATACATTCACACTCCTGTAACGGCCACTGATTTCACACGCGGCTGAGATCCAACTCTTGTAGTCCAATTTCGTCAGCTAACCCCGTGTATCCGAATTTCGGCAGCTCTACGGAGGAGGTATGGTGGGCACGTGCTATATATAAACAAACGCCCTAAGACAACGACCCTGCCACAACGAACCTACCACCTCCCTGTCTCGCACGAAAAACCAGTTGGCACATCATCCCGTATAACATCTCAGGGTTTGCTAACAGAGTATCCCCGAATTATATAGTTCAACATTTTTTGCCGGGCCATCCTAACGACGGGGCCAAAAACAACATCAACAAAAGCACGCGGCAGATGGCCCCCCACTCGCCGCTGACGGCATGCGCTGCCCAGCTTCGCGCTCGACGGCTGGGACACCCGCAACGTGGCATGGCCAACTCTCACAATAATAGTGGTGTCCCCAAAATGGCAGCCCGTGCAGCCGTGTCAACCTACTGAGGCTACAACTTCCGCCGCCAGCACCAACACCACTCACTGCTGTTCCGCCCCCCTTTCGTTGGCGAACCAACCAAAACCTCACGCCATTAGTCACGCGCGTAGCCGCCGCCGCCGCCGCCTACATGGTGCCCAACCAGCCCCACGGCAGCGCTCACTCACTCGCCCTCGTAGAGCCAGACGTCAGCCAGGCGGGACCCCAAAACACCAGTAGCAAGGGCGCCAATCGGCCGCCGGCCGACTCCGTCGCCCAGCGTACAGGCTGCACCCCAGCCCCTCCGAACGAGCTGGTTGGGAATCTCTTCAAACAGTGTCAGGCAACGGAAGAGTGAGCGAGGGAGGGGCGCCTCACGAGCGTGACACGAGCGAGGGTTAAACGAGGGCGCTTGGGCCGACGAGTTCGTCAAGGGTGCGCTCGAGCTCCGTCGTGTCGACGGCGAGCCCGCCGAAGTCCTCGCCCGCAGCAACCCCGAACTCGACGATGTCGCGCTCCACGCCCAAGATGTCGTTGAGCAGCATGGCCTGCAATGTGCGGGGGGGGGGGGGGGGGGGGGGGCTAAAACAAAAAAAAACTTGGGCCAAACCCCTTTGCTTTGAAAAAAAAAAGGGGGGGGAAAAAATGTTTGGGAAAAAAAAAACCCGCGGGAAAAACCCCCGGGCTTGGGGGGGCGGGGGGGTTGTTTTTTATTAAAATCCCAATTTTTGGGGGGACCCCCACCTGGGGAAGGGGGCGGGGGGGGGGGTTGGGCCCAACGCAAAAAAATTAAAGCCCTTTGGGAACCCCCCGGGGGTGGGGCCCCCGCCGTTTGGGGGGAAAAAATCCCTCCCGGAAAAAAAAAACGGATTTTTTTTCGTTTTGGGGCCCCCCGGGGAAAAAACCCCAAAAAGGGCCAACCG